AAAAAAAATAAAAAAAAAAAAAAAAATGAAATGAGAAATCAGAACAAAGCCAAGAATTAAAAAAAAAAAAGGAAAAGAAAAAGAAATCTATGCATCTTCTCGACGTCAATCCCCTAAGTGGGCCCAGTAACCACCCTTCTACACTCTCCCTACCTATATTATTATTTTTTATTTTTTTTTGAACGGGGGGTGATGCCTCGAAGGTTTGGATGGATAACTCAAATATTATCATCCTGGCTGGATTGGTTTCTAGAAAACAAGTATAACTAATTATCACATTTTTTAAGATTTTATTATAAGTTACAGTAATTATAATGTGATCGAAATAAGGTCGATATAAGTAAATAATAATTCTACTTCTACAAAATGTATAATTAAAATTAAATCATGAAATTAATAGAGGATACTTGGAGAATGTCGGTTAATTAACACTTGAAAGGATGTCAAATCTTCAAATACAGAAATAAATATGGAAAGTTAAGACTTTCGTAATAATGAAACTATGAATTTCCCATATTTAGTGCGAGTTTATTCGCTCAAATCAATTACTTGGTAAAGAAGTAGGAATGTTTTCAAGTAAGGGAAGTTTTTCAAATACTTGTTACAACCAATAAGGAATGTTTCCAATAAGGTAACAATCTGCAAAACAACGGATAGTCGGAATTAACTAAGATCACCATTTCAATCCTACTTCGATCCTATAAAGGAGAGAGGAAATTCACTATAAAACCAAAACATCGCTCAAATTTCCGTCATATTTTGTTCCAAATTTTCCCTATACACTTTTCAATTTCTGGTTAAGATCAACGAAAAAATTAATGGGTTTTTGGAGTAAGGTTCGCATTCTTGGTGCGGGTTCGTATGGAACTGTACACTTGGCGGTGAAGGTGGATCCTCCACTATCTGTTTCCACCGCCGCTGTGAAGTCCGCCACTTTTCCGTATTTGAATTGGCTGAAGAAGGAGGGAGAAATTCTGTTCGAACTGAGAGGTTGCCGTGAAATCGTTCAGTGTTTCGGAGAATATACTAGTATTGAAAACAATAGAGGGGTTTACAATCTTCTCCTTGAATACGCATCCGGTGGATCCCTCGTTGATCTGATCAAAAACTACGGAGGCAATATGCCGGAATCTATGGCCGCTTGTTATAGTTACATGCTACTTAAGGGTCTCTCTCACGTTCATGAAAAAAGGTTTATTCACTGTGACATGAAACCCGCCAATGTTCTCGTTTTTCCCAGCGAAGATGGCACTATACACAATCTCAAGATAGCAGATTTTGGACAGGCCAAGAAAATCGGAG